CATTCATTATTCAAGGATCAACTGTATCTCATATTATGGTCCTATTTGTTTTTATATAAAATTAAACAGAAGCACAGGATAATAATAGAATTTAATAACTTATCTTTAAACTTATTCAAGAGAACAAAAAAAAAGCTCTAAAGACAAAGAAATGAGCCCTGACAGTTTTGCTCAGCGGTTAGAGTATCAACCCTCCAAAAGAAGGGTCTCAGGTTCAATTCCTGCTTAAGGGCACATACCTGGGTTGCAGGTTCGATTTCCAACCCTGGTCAAGACCATGCGGGAGACAACCAACCAATGTGTCTCTCTTTCATTGATGTTTCTCTCTCTACCTCTCCCTCCCTTCCACTTTCTCTTAAAAAAAAAAAAAAAATCCTCTGGTTAGGATTAACAAAAAAAGATAAAGAAATGAGCAGCTGCGCCTTCTAGGTCCTCATAAAATCATACAGAATAAATATTAAGAATACTTGGATTCACAACATCAGAAGCCAAAAGTAAACTTGTGATTTAATTCCTCAAGCTTCAGTGAAGTATTAATAACTAAAATTTTTTTAATTAAAATAAATTTTCAAAAATTTATTCTGCTACACAGTAATTCTCCTTTTCTAAGAGCTACACAGTAAAACCTCCCAAGGCCTGCTTTACACAGAAACGGAATAATTCAATACTTAACCATTATTATGTTCCCATCAACAATATGATTAAATAGGACTTCCGGTCAAGATGGCGGCGTAGGTAAACGCGGTATCGCGTCCTCCCACAACCACATCAAAGTTACAACTAAACTACAGAACAACCATCATTCAAAACCGCCTGAAATCAAGCTGAATGGAAGTCCTACAACTAAGAAATTAAAGAAGCAGCCACATCCAGACTGGTAGGAGGGGTGGAGGTGGAGGGGCTGGTCCTACACCCAAGCGTGGCGGATAAAAATCAGGAGGATCCCTCGGCTGGGAAGGTCCTTCCTGAGGACTGAGGGGTCCCCGTCCCACACCAGGTGCCCCACTCAGGGTTCCAGTGCCAGGAAGAGAAGTTCCCATAACTTCTGGCTGGAAAAACCAGCAGGAACTGAGGCTCAGGGAAGCTGACGCAGCTGGAGCCCCAGGCAGCTCCTTTAAGGGCCCGCACACGGACTTATCAGACTCTCTCCCTCTAAGCTTGGAGGGGAGGCAGCTCGAGGGGCACCAGAGACATACAGGGAAGAACTGAGCTGTTTGGCACTGGAGTGAGGGCTGGAGAGGGGGCTTTCTCCTGGACAGACTGCTGTCAGAGGCCTTTGTTCCTTTGGTGAGCCCTTCCCTGAGGCAGCAGGCAGCCACCATATCTGGGCTTCCAGCAACCTGGCTCACACTGGTAGCCCCGCCCTGGTGACTCCCTGAGGCCCCGCCCCACCCAACTTTCAGGCCCACCCAAGCTGTTGCCACTTGCTTAACCATAGGGTTGGCCTGTCTTGGATCCTGCTTCAGGTTTTTCCTAAATTCTTTCAAACAAGCAGCATTTGGTCTCAGATAGCCCCATACCTCTGGTTAAGTAATACACTGAAACAAACACAGGGAAGCAGCCAAAATGAGGAGACAAAGAACCAGGTCCCAAATGAAAGAACAGAACAAAATCCCAATAAAAGAACTAAGCGAAATGGAGATAAGCAACCTAACAGATGCTGAATTCAAAATACTGCTTATAAGGATGCTCAATGAACTTAGTGCGAACCTCAGTGAACTTAGTGAGGGCCTCAAGAACTTAAAAAAGGACCAGTCAGAAATGATGGATGCACAGTCAGAAATGAAGGAGGCACTAACTAAAATAAAGAATAATTTACACAGACTCAATAGTAGAGTACGTAAATCCAAGAAGCAAACCATCGATTTGGAATATAAGGAAGCAAAAAACTCCCAATCAGAACAGCAAAAAGAATCCAAAAAAATGAGGATAGTGTAAGGAGCCTCTGGGACAACTTCAAGCGGGCCAACTTTCGCATCTTGGGGGTGCCAGAAGAAGAGCGAGAACAAGAAATTGAAAACCTGTTTGAAACAGTAATGGCAGAAAATTTCCCTAATTTGGTGAAGGAAACAGACATACAAGTCCAGGAAGCACAGAGAGTCCCAAAAAGATGAACCCCAAGAGGCCCACACCAAGACACATCATCATCAAAAGGCAAAAAGTTCAAGACAAAGAATCTTAAAAGCAGCAAGAGAAAGGCAGCTAGTTACCTACAAGGGAGTTCCCATTAGGCTGTCAGCTGATTTCTCAAAAGAAACTTTGCAGGCCAGAAGGGAGTGGCAAGAAATATTCAGAGTGATGAAAAGCAAGAACCTACAACCAAGATTACTCCATCTTGCAAAGCTGTCATTTAGAATCGATGGACATAGAAAGAGCTGCCCAGACAAGAAAAAGTTAAAGGAGTTCACCACCACCAAACCGTTATTATATGAAATGATGAAGGGTCTTTTTGAAGAAAAAGATAAAATGTATGAACAAACAAGATGGCAATGAATACATATCTATCAACAATGGAATCTACAAACAAAATGAACAGGTAGAACAGAAACATTCTCATAGATACAGAGAACATTTTATTAGTTGCCAGATGGGAGGGGGGTAGGGGGAATGGGTGAAAAAGGTGAAGGGATTAAGAAGTACAAATTCATTGCTAGACTGACAAACCTCAGAGAGAAGGGGATTGGGGCTTGGGAGGAAATAAATCAAAGAACTTATATGCATAACCAATGGACACAGACAATAGTGTGGGAAAAGGTGGGAGGGGGGCGGGAGGGGGGAGAAGGGGGTCAATGGGGAAAAAATGAGGAACATCTGTAATACATTCTACATCCAACAATAAAGATTTTTTCTTTTTTTTTTAATCCTCACCCGAGGACATTTTTCCATTTTTTGTTCAGGTAGAGTGGGAGGGAGAGAGAGGAACAGAGAGAGAGAGAGAAACATCGATGTGAAAGGAACACATCGAGTGGCTGCCACCCGCACAACCGACCAGGGCTGGGGACAAACTGCAACCGAGGTACGTGCCCTTAGCGGAAACCGAACCCGGGTCTCTCAGGACCTCAGGCCGACGCTCTAACCACTGAACCAAACCGGCCAGGGCAACAATAAAGATTAAAAAAAAACCAAAACAATATGATTACATAGAAAAACAAAAAACTTTACATATAAAAAAAAAACAATATTTATATCAGTTTTACATTTTAAAAGCCAGAATTTTGGCATTGAAGTCTAACTAGTCTTCTAGCTTGGAATAAAGATAACTAGATAACTGCTTTATGAGTGAAATATCTAACATGGGTCCCCACTGTCAGCTGCTCAGCATCAACTCAGGGCCTGATAAAAATAACATATAATGCAGCATATCCTGTAGCCCAATAAGTAAACTGCTACCCAATGTGTTCCCTCCTTGCCTCCACACAAAAAGAGGGACTAGCCCTGGCCGATTTGGTTCAGCAGTTAGAGCGTCGGCCTGCGGTCCTGAGAGACCCGGGTTCGGTTCCCACTAGGGGCGCGTGCCTCAGTTGCAGTTTGTCCCCAGCCCTGGTCGGTTGTGCGGGTGGCAGCCACTCGATGTGTTCCTTTCACATCGATGTTTCTCTCTCTCTCTGTTCCTCTCTCTCCCTCCCACTCTACCTGAACAAAAAAAGGAAAAATGTTCTCGGGTGAGGATAAAAAAAAAAAAAAAAAAGAGGGACTACCTTATTTCATCACATCAATGATAAAACACTGTTTTTATGACACACCATGAAAGAAAAAAAGTGGATAATCAAAATGTGACTCACCACCAATTGTAAGACATCTCAATTTCAAAATGTTAAGCTGCAGGAAAAAATGTCTTTAGAATCTATAACACATAGTACAAATCTGACATTCTTTTTATTTTTTATTTTTATTTATTTATTTATTTTATCTTCACCCAAAGACATTTTTCCATTTCTTATTCAGATAGAGTGGGAGGGAGGGAGAGAGAGAGAGAGAAACATCGACGTGAAAGGGACACATCAAGTGGCTGCCACCCGCACGACCCGGCCAGGGACAAACTGTAACCAAGGTACGTGCCCTTAGCAGGAACCGAACCCAAGTCTCTCTGGACCGCAGGCCGACGCTCTAACCGCTGAACCAAATCGGCCAGGGCTTTAAAATTTTTTATTTATTGATTGATTTTAGAGAGAGAGAGAGGGAGGGAGAGAGAGATAGAAACACTGGCCGCCTCCTGCATGCCCCTCACCAGGGATTTGGCCCACAAACTGGGCATGTGCCCTGACCGGAATCAAACTGGCAACCAGTTTGGTGCATGGGTCGACGCTCAACCACTGAACCACCCCGGCCGGGCCAAATCTGACATTCTTTACGACCATAAAAACACTTGTCATCTTCACACAATACCAATTTTCCTTCTTGGCTAAATGTGTATTTATGTAATTTATAGTATAATTCAATTCAATTTGATTCATATATTTTACCAAAGACTGTACTATTACACCAACAGTATGCTAGGTACAAATGAAGCACATCCTAGTCTTATAACATGACAACAACTCTTCCAACATACAGTAGTCCCCCTTATCTGCAGGGGATATGTTTCAAGACCCTCCAGTGGATGCCCAAGACCACAGAGATTAGAACCCTATCTATACTGTTTTTCCTATATGTACATACCTTTTCACTTAATGGAAGCACTTTACAGCTTCTCTTTGGCATATCCAAATTGCCAGCATCACTAATCTTGTATTTTGGGGCCATCATCATGTAAAATACGGGTTCCTTGTATGTTATATGGGACAAAAGCATGAGAGAGCATAGTTGGCTCCAGACCCATCACTGGAAAAACTTCCTCTATGATTTCAGCACTTTCTACCAATCTGTGTAGTCCAGGTTTTTATCCAGAAAAATGGGCCATAACATCTCAAATCAAGATGCTACAAGAATAAATGTTAGAATGAGAAGTACCACATTATAGAACAAGTATCAGAGAACAAGGTGGAACCGAGGATAGAAAGGGCCAGCAGGACAGAGTTTAGCTACTGCTACTAAAAGATTTTTTTGAAAAAAAAAAAAAAAAAAGTACAAAAGTGAATCTGAAAAATATTAGAAACCATTAAGAGTATTAACTATACTTACTAAAAGTGGCCCACTAAAGTGAATGAATAAATAAACTGGTACATTCACACAATGGAATTTTACTCGGTGCTAAAAAGAAATGTGTTATCAAGCCACGAAGAGACATGAAGGAAATTCAAATGCACATTACTAAGTGAAATAGGCCAATCTGAAAAGGCTATACTGTATGATTCCAACTATATGACATCTGGAAAAGGCAAAACTATGGAGACAGTAAAAAAAAAAAATCAGTGGCTGCCAGAGGGTGGGGGTAGGGTGAAACAGGTAGAGCACAGAGGATTTTAGGGCAGTGAAAATACTGTTTGATACCATAATGGTGGATGTAAAGTCATCATACATCTGTCCAAACCCATAGGTTGTACAACACCAAGAGATATGTAAACTATTTTGAATAATAACGATGTGTTAATGTAAGTTCATCAATTATAACAAATGCATCACTCTGGTGGGGGATATTGATAGTGGGGCAGGCTGTTCATGAATGGGGGCGGAGAGATATGGGAAATCTCTGTACCTTCCCTTCAATTTTGCTATGATCCTAAAACTACTCTATAAAAACAGTTTTGATTTTTTAAAAAAGGCTATTGGGGCACACAAACTTAAGAAAGTGAGCAAATGCCAGGCCAGTGTGGCTCGGTGGTTGAGCAATGACCCATGCACCAAGAGGTCACTGGTTCGATTCCAGGTCAGGGCACATGCCCAGGTTGTGGGCCCAATCCCCAGTGAGGGGGCATGCAGGAGGCGGCCAATCGATGTTCTCACTCCATTCCTCTCTCTCTAAAATTAATAAAGAAAAAAATTAGGGGGGAAAAAAGTGAGAAAAGAATAAGAGGTTACAAAAAAAAAAAAAGTTAAACACTTGCCCAGGGTCATCAAGCCACTAGATTGACCCTAACTGTCACACTATTAACTCTTAGCACCTGCATGACATCCAGATGCTGGCAAAGGCCAAAGGTCTGAAAATGCACCACCAGGGTAACCAAATCAGTAAACAGCTGGTTATAGCCCTGGCCAGTTTTGCTCAGTGGTTAGAGCATTGGCCTGCGGTCCAGAGAGACCAGGGTTCAGTTCCCGCTAAGGGCGTGTACCTCGGTTGCAGTTTGTCCCCGGCCCTGGTTGGGTCGTGCAGGTGGTAGCCACTCGATGTGTCCCTTTTGCGTCAATGTTTCTCTCTCTCTCTCTCCCTCCCACTCTATCTGAACAAAAAAATGGAAAAATGTCCTCGGGTGAAGATAAAATAATATAAACAAACAAACAGCTGGTTATAAAACACTTCTGACTTATATACCACACAAAAATCCAGGTGTCCCCTTGAGTTGATACATAAATTCTAAACTGTCCTCTACAATCTCAAAATAAAGCATTACTACTATATTTATAACTAATGAGATAGTTCCCATTAATATTCAAATTCTACCTTTCTTCCTCACTATTTTCAAAAAACCCCCGAGAGATAAATACTTTGGCTTAACTTTTTAGCCTAGATCAAATGGGTTAGGCCAAATTTTAATATTACTGTTGCTTTTCCAGAGCTTACACTATACAATAGCCTCAGCTATAAATATACTGTGCTCAAGAAAACAATGTATTGTATATACTTTTATTTATTTATTTTAATCCTCACCCGAGGACTTTTTTTTTTTTTTTTTTGCATTTATCTTCAGACAGAGCAGGAGGGAGAGGGGGGGAAGAGAGAAAGAGAAACATGGATGTGAGAGAGACACATGGACTGGTTGCCACCCACACGACCCCAACTGGAACCAGGGACAAACTGCAACTGAGATACATGCCCCTAGTGGGCAATGAACCCCAGACTCTCTGGTCCGCAGGCCGACGGTCTAACCGCTGAGCCAAACCAGCCAGGGCCACTTTTAGACTTTCATCATATGAAAATCACTTAGTGTTATTCATAGGGAGAAAGGTGAAAATGGTAAAAACATCAGACAAAATAAAAATATACCAAAACGATTAAACAAGTTTTCTCATTCAAAGAAGATTCAATTGCTTAGAAAATTCTGAAATCAAGAAAAAGTGACAGCCAACTACATTTATATCAAGATTTTTGTTGAAATTACAAATAGAATCACTAAAGAGAAAAAAGTTATCAAAATAATGCAAAATATACTCAAGATAGAATATATTTCTATGAGCCAAAATACTGGCCTTCTGTCAGAATTAGCAGCTGATAAAAACATATTCTTCTCTCTTACTGAGTTAATTACATAACCATAGTTAAGTCCTCACTTAATCTAGCAGATAGGTTCTGAAACTTTGAGCAAAATGACATATAAAGAAACCCGTTTTGGCCCTGGCCGGTTTGGCTCAGCGGTTAGAGCATTGGCCTGAGGTCTGGATAGACCCGGGTTTGATTCCCGCTAAGGGCACATACCTCGGTTGCAGTTTGTCCCCTGGTTGGGGTCGTGTGGGTGGCAACCAGTCGATGTCTCTCTCTCACACTGACACTCTCTCTCTTCCTCCCTCTCTCCTTTCCATTCTATCTGAAGGTAAATGCAGAAATGTCCTCTGGTGAGGATAAAAAAAAAAAAGAAAAGAAACCCATTTTACCATAGGCTAAATAATATAAGAGTTAGTTTCTACAGCATCTCAACATTGCATCAAAATGACATTCGAGAATCTGCCATAGTTAATAACAAAAAGATACAATGAATGTAATAGCATTTCATCATTACCTTATCCTCAAGTTCTCTTTCTGATCTAAAACTCTTTAAGATTATACAATTTCTTTAGTTATGAGGCTCTTCACTAATAGCTTTGCAACTCAAACTAAGTTTATCTTCATTTTCACATATAAATGTTATAGATCTAAAAAAAACCAAATGCAGAAAGTTAAATTTGCCATGCAAATAGCTAAACAAATCCACCAAATGTATGTGCTTCCAGACCACATCCTCATACATTTATAGTCCATCTTATTTTCAAAGAGGCAGTACCAATTTACACTTCATTCAAAATCAAATGTAACTTCTATACAAAAGCCACTAATAACTCAGATAAACGCACTGATACGTTAATATCAAAAGTTAAAAACAATTACTCCCTCCAGGATGTGGTGCTTAATACCTCTAGCCCCCTTGAATGTTAGCTTAGTGACTAGCTTCCAAAAGAATAGAATACAGAGGGAAAAACAGTAACTTTACAATGGAGAAACCTGGCAAACACCACCTTAGTCACGTGGATCAAGGTTAACAGTTTAACCTGTGCAGTCATGAGGGGGCACTTCCCCTCTGTGGTATTCTTTCCAAACATCCACAATGAATTTGGCCAAATTTTTTTTTTTTTTTTTTTTATCCTCACCCGAGAACATTTTTCCATTTTTTGTTCAGATAGAGCGGGAGGGAGAGGGAGGAAGAGAGAGAGAGAGAGAAACATCGATGTGAAGGGACACATCGAGTGGCTGCCACTCGCACGACCAACCAGGGCCGGGGACAAACTGCAACCGAGGTACGTGCCCTTAGCGGGAACCGAACCTGGGTCTCTCTGTACCGCAGGTCGACACTCCAACCGCTGAGCCAACCCGGCCAGGGCGTGGCCAAATTTAATACCTCATTATTATTAGGTCTAATCATGAGGGGAGAAAAATCACATAAACAGAAATTGAGGAGCACTCAAATGAATACCTGACCAATACTCCAAAGCAGTCAAGGTCATGTAAAACAATGAAGGAATGAGAAACTGTCAGACTAGGAAATATTAAGAAGACATAACCACTATACGTAATATGGTATCCTGGATTGAATCCGGAGCAGAAAAGAACATTCAAGAAAAAAACTGGTGAAATCTGAATAAAGCCTAGAGTTTAGTGTACCAACGATGGTTTCTTAGTTTTGACACATGTGCCATTGTAATATAAAATGGTAACATAGAGTTAATCTCTGTATTATCTTCACAACTTTTCTGTAAATCTAAAATAAGAAGTCAAAAAATAACAAACATTAAGGCAAAAACCATAAAATTATTAGAAGGGCTGCTTACATCCCAATCTTTCTTTCATAAAATCATTCCAGCTTTAAAAAAATTAAACATCTAAAGTTCTTCTATATGCTTAGCTGTGTTGAGACTAGTAATTAAAAATACTAAAACATGACGTAAAACTGATCCACTATAACCACTCAAAACTTAAATATCCATAAAAATGTTGGCCCCAGGCCGGTTTGGCTCAGAGGTTGGAGCATCAGCCTGCGGACCAGAGAGTCCCGGGTTTGGTTCCCACTAGGGGCACATACCAAAAAAATAAAAAATGAAAAATAAAAATAATAATAAATAAAAATGTTGGCACCTAAATTTTCTGCAAAAGATATATTTAAGATATCTGGAAAGTCTTAAAAGGCATAAAGGTAAAATATTTAAATGGTTAACATAGCCCTGGCTGGTTAGGTTCTGCAGTTAGAGCATCAGCTCTCGAACCAAAGGGTCAAGGGTTCAATTCCCAGTCAAGGGCACCTGCCTGGCTGGGTTGCAGGTTCAATCCCCAGCCCCAGTTAGGGTCCTCTGAGAGGCAACCAATGTGTCTCTCTCACATCAATGTTTCTTTTTTTCTCTCCCTCCTCCTTCCCCCACCTCCCTTCCACTCTACCTAAAATTCAATGGAAAAGTATCGTCAGGTGAGAATTAACAAAAAACAAAAAATTCTATAAATCAGGCACTCTTATGGGCCTTATTGTATTTTTTATGTTTTTTTTACTCTTTATAAAAAAATTTTTTTTAATCCTCACCTGAGGACATTTTTCCTTTATCTTCAGATAGAGAGGGAGGGAGGGAGGGAGGGAGGGAGGGAGGGAGGGAGGGAGAGAAAAAGAGAGAGAGAGAAAGAGAAACATCAAAGTGAGAGAGCTACATCAACTGGTTGCCTCCCGCATGACCCCGACCAGGGCTGGGGATGAACCACAACCGAGGTACATGCCCTTGGCTAGAATCAAACCTGCGACTCTTTGGTCTGTGGGCCGACGCTCTAACCACTGAACAAAACCGGCCAGGGCAGGGCCTTATTTTATTTTTAAATTGACAGGGCACATACAATTCGAAGTACAAAACACAACGTCATCTAATCTACTGCTGTAAAGAGATAGCAGAACATTTACATTAAATCCTACAAGCCCAGCCAGTGTGGCTCAGTGGATTGAGCATTGATCCATGGACTGAGAGGTCCCCGTTCGATTCCTGGTCAGGGCACAAGTCCAGGTTGCAGTTCATCCCTGGCCCTGGTCAGAGTCAAGAGGGAGGCAACCAGTTGATGTGTCCCTCTCACGTTGATGTTTCTCTCTCTCCCTTTCTCTCCCACCCACTCTATCTGAAGATAAATAGAAAAATATCCTCAGGTGAGGATTTTAAAAAAACCCTACAAAGCCCTAGCCAGTGTCTTCAGTGGTTAGAGCATCTGCCTTCAGATCAGTCTTGGGTTCTATCCCCAGCCCCAGTCAGGGTCATGCGGGAGGCAAAAATCAATGTGATGCTCTCACATCGATGTTTCTCTCTCTCCATCCCCTTCCTCCCTTCCACTCTATGTAAAAATTAATGGAAAAAATATCCTTGAATGAGGATTTAAAACAAAAACAGCCCTGGCCGGTTTGGCTCAGCGGTTAGAGCATCGGCCTGCGGTCCAGAGAGACCGGGGTTCGGTTCCCGCTAAGGGCACGTACCTCAGTTGCAGTTTGTCCCCAGCCCTGGTTGGTGGTGTGGGTGGCAGCCACTCGATGTGTCCCTTTCACGACGATGTTTCTCTCTCTCCCTCTCTTCCTCTCTCTCCCTCTCTTCCTCTCTCTCCCTCCCACTCTATATGAACAAAAAATAGAAAAATGTCCTCGGGTGAGGACAAAAAATAAAAATAAAAATAAATAAAATAAATAAAAAATAAAACAAAAACAAAAAAAGCCCTACTAAGTCATTTTGTTTTTATTTATGACTCTTATATTCATAAACAAGATTAACTGAGGCATTAGACTATACTATTTTAGTTCTATTTTTCACATAACAAATATGCCTAAGCAGAGAAACTAATTTTATAAGTCACAGATAAAAAAGCAGACTCCTAATTTCAACTCTTTTATTTTTTTCTATCAATAATAAAAACAGTTACCAGAATTTACAGCCAAGCATCAGTATTTCTCAAACTATTACTTAAGGCCACAAATGATATTGCACAGAAAGAATAGAATTACAAATTTCATCTAGAAGATTCCTTATATTCAGAAAGCAACCATTGCTTTGTAATACTATTATTTGCATTGCATGTTTTCTCCACATAGAAAAACATGCTAAAAAAAAAAAATCTTCGTAAGATTCTCAAATTTCACTTTAAATAATAAAATGTCATCAGAATATCATCAGAGCTGACTAAACATTGTAAGAATGACATTTAAGAACTAAAACAACCAGAACAGACTAAAATTACTACATTTTATCAAATTCATTCAAATGTGTAATAAGTCCCAACTTAAAAGCACCCAAGTCACACACTATTTCTTGATTCTATTAAAAAATAGTATTTCTGCCCTGGCCAGTATGGCTCAGTTGGTTGAGCTTCATCACCCCAGCACCAAAGGTTGTCAGTTCGATTCCCAGTCAGGGCATGTGCCCAGGTTGCAGGTTCAATCCCCAGTCAGGGTGTGTGCAGGAGACTGTTGATGTTTTTCTCTCACATCAATATTTATTTCTTTCTCTCTCCTCCCTTCCATTCTAAAATCAACAAAATATATATATATTTTAAATAGAATTTCAAATTGTTTCCCATCAAAGCAAATAAAAGACATGTATCTCTGTCAATTAAGATAATCCAGGTCAAAGATTGAATATATATACACATATATCAGGTCACCCCCCCAAAATATAAAATAAACACAACTGCTTGTGGTATTTTGTTAGTCATTCTCTGAATTATAAGATGCCAAGGGGTCAAAAGTAAATCCTGGGAATAAGCTCCCATAGGAACAGGGGACTACTCCTATTTACCTTGTCTAAAGAGCACAGGAGGATACTGGGTGATAAAGACCTCTGGACTTCCTACCTTGAGGATTTAAAGAAAATAGCTAGTTAGCCCTGGCCGGTTTGGTTCAACGGCTGGAGCGCCGGCCTACGGACCAGAGAGTCCTGGGTTCGGTTTCCGTTAGGGGCACGTACCCCAAAAAAAGAAACAAAGAAAATAGCTAGTTAGTAGCTTCTAAACCTCAGAAACACTGACCAAATTGTATAATACTAGCTTAGGAAAAAACAAAAGAGAGACCAGTAACTTGGAAGTATAAGAACACGAAATTCAGGTGCCAAGTTCCCTGTGCCTGACTTCACTGAAAGTTAAAGCAAATCTAAGGCATAGCCTACTTTTACACTCAGAAGATAAATAGCAAAGTTGTAAACTACTATACATTTTTAGCATAAGTAAGTTTGAGTTTGATAATTGCCAAGCTGCACCAAGTGAAAATAGGCCAAGTATGCTCCGATTTTCAAACGCCTAAAAAAAAAAAAGGACCTGGCTTCACTACTACTTTTAATTAACCTTAAATGTAAGATACTGTAAAGGATCTGGAAATACCTTCTCCCTAAAGATTTACTTATGTACTTTCCTGCCGGTCAATTGCTCGATTTCTACAAATTAAGTCAAAATATAAACTAGGAACACTAATAGAAAACAGACATATTCATTGAAATACTATATGAAATGATATAATAGTCTTTTATGAGCCACCAACAGTCTTCCAGATGTATCATGGTTTACACGTTATAAAATTCTTAGCTAAATCTCAAAAGAAAAGCCACATTAATTAAAGACAGAAAAAATATGGCACCTAACTATTCTAACCCAACAGCCTGTAGAAAAAAAGATAAAAGCAAATGTGTTCACAAAAGCATGAATGAGTCAACACAGGTATACTTAAATATATGTCATCTGATAATCAAAGACAGCATTCAAGAGCTGCCATTCTTTACTGCCAGGAGAAATGGGCAGCAATCCAGATAATTAGACTAAAGAACACACTCAAAAGTCCACTTCCTCTCCTCCATCTACCCATAAAACAAATCTGACTTAAAAAGTTTTTGTTGCCCTGGCCGGTTTGGCTTAGCGGTTAGAGCATCGACCTGCGGTCCTGAGAGACCCGGGTTTGGTTCCTGCTAAGGGCGCGTACGTCGGTTGCAGTTTGTCCCCGGCCCTGGTCGGTTGTGCGGGTGGCAGCCACTCAATGTGTTCCTTTCACGTCGATGTTTCTCTCTCTCTCTCTCTGTTCCTCTCTCTCCCTCCCACTCTACCTGAACGAAAAAATGGGAAAATGTCCTCCGGTGAGGATTTAAAAAAAAAAAAGTTTTTGTTGCCTGGCCGGTGTGGCTCAGTGGTTGAGCGTCAACCCATGCACCAAGAGGTCACCAATTAGATTCCCGGTCAGAGCACACGCCCAGGTTGTAGGCCAAATCCCCAGTGGGGAACATGCAGGAGGTGGCCAATGTTCTCTCTCATTGATGTTTCTAGCTCTTTCTCCCTCTCCCTATCTCTCCCTCTAAAATCAATAAAGAAAACAAAAAACAAATACCCGAGTTGCAGGTCCAATCCTCGGCCTAATAAGGGCACATTCAGGAGGCAACCAATCAATATGCCTCTCTCACTATCATTCTTGCTCCCACCCCTTCCCTCTTCCTGAAAAAAAAAAAAAAAATCAATGGAAAAAATATCCTCAGATGAGGATTGGAAAAAAAATTAAGAAAAAAAGTTTTTGTTTTTGTTTGTAATCCCTAAGGACACAAATGAAAAGAGACGCAAAATACAGGGGTTTATTTATTTTTCCCTCTATCTCAAAATGGTAACTATGGTGAATTGAATGAATTAGCAGTAAAAGTAATAGATGTTAATAACTGCAAACTGTGTTGCAAAGATCGATGATTCTATTATCAAACATGTGTTATGCTCTCCATTTTAATATACTTAACATATTCTAAAGCAACACTTGAGATCAGCCAAGTTAAGATAAAGAGCTAAAACTCTTTTTGTCAGAAAATGCCACAGCATTTAAAATGCATTTCCCTCCTATGCTCTCATCCATTTGAATGTAAATATAATTTGTAGTAAAATTCCAAAATATCCAAGATCTACATCATGGCATGATTTTACTGTAGGAGCCTTAGTTTGGATTAGTAATGTGACCCAGTACAGTAGTTCCCCCCTTATGTGCACTTTCCCCTTCCATGGTTTCAGTTATTCATGGTCAAAATAATAAATGAAAATGTTTAGAAATAAATAATTCATAAGTTTAAAATTGCATGCCTTTTTGAATAGTATGAAAAAAATGTCACAGTCCTGACCATTTTTGCTCAGTTGTTAGGGCGTTGGCCTGTGGACCCAAGAGTTGCGGGTTTGATTCCAGCCAAGGGCACGTACTTCAGTTGTGGATTGTCCCCAGCCCTGCTGAAGTCGCGGGACGCAACCAATCAATGTGTCTCTCTAACACCAATGTTTCTCTCTCTCTCTTCCTTCCTCCCTCCCTCCCATTCTATCTGAAGATAAATGGGAAAATACAGGGTATCCTCAGGTGACGATTAAAAAAAAAAGAAAAATCTCACAAAGTTATATCCCACCCCGCTTGTAAACTGTATAAACTACCTACCCATTAGTCATTTAGTAGCCATCTTGGTTATCAGATCTACAGTCAACATACTGCAGTGCTTGGGTTAAATAACTCTTATTTTACTTGATAATAAATGGCCCCACGCTGGCCTGTTTTGCTCAGTGGTTAGCACATCAGGCCTCGAACCAAAGGGTTCAATTCCCTGTCAAGGGCATGTACCTGGGCTGCAGGTTCAATCCCCAGCCCTGATCAGGGTTGTGCAGGAGGCAACCAACTAATGTATCTCTCTCAAACATAGTTATTTGTAGGATTAAGTACTATTTGCCATTTCAGGCATCCAGTGGGGGTCTGAGAACATATACCCTGCTGATAATGGGGGGGGGGGGGGCTACTGTATCAATTAACAGTTGTGGGACCCCAAAGGCCATATAAGTTACCATTTGTTAATAATAAAATATATTTGTTGTTGTTGTTTGTTTGTTTGTTAAATCCTCACCCGAGGATATTTATCCATTGATATTTAGAATGGAAAGGGAAGGATTGGGGAGGAGAGAGGGAGAAAGAGAGAGAAACATCAATGTGAGAGACATCGACTGACTGCTTCCTGCATGACCCTGACCAGGGCTGGGAATCGAACCTGTAATCCAGGTCTGTGACTTTGACCACAATTCAAACCTGTGACCCTTTGATCCACAGACTGATGCTGTAACTGCTCAGCCAAACCAGCCAAGGCAATAATAATTTTTTTAAATCCAGTTTCTTTTCCTGTAGAGTGAAACAAAAAGGGGTATGTAGTTTCAAGCTCTGTTGCCAAAGAGATCTACTAATTTATTCAGAGATTTACATAAATAATTAGCAAAAGAGTAAAGATGCAGTAGTCTATAAGACCATAAAACTATATATCCAACCATGTAACACCTGGTGATCTTTTATGGACATGATTTCTACCAAATCAATCATCTACAGATAGACACTACAATGAAAATGTTTACCTGAATGTTTTAAATTAATCAATCTTTCATAAACAGTCTGTGCAATATAAAGTCAACTGATGGAAAGCACAGATAACCAAAGTTATACTGGCACCATTTAAACAAAACAACTAAATTTATTTTCACTAATCTGAGTAGTAACCCAATTGCTTCTAAGGCAATATGAACCAGGCACATGCTGTATCTAATTCTTCTATTTATATTACCTAGACTAAGATTTTTAGCTTGTTTTGTTCTTTTTATCCTCACCCAAGGACTTTTTTCCATTTTTGTTCAGTTAGAGTGAGAGGGAGAGAGAGAGAGAGAGAAACATCAACGTGAAAGGGACACATCGAGTGGCTGCCTCCCACACAACCCCAACCAGGGCTGGGGACAAACTACAACCAAGTTACATGCCCTTAGTGGGAACTGAACCCGTGTCTCTCTGTACCTCGGGCTGATGCTCTCACCGCTGAGCCAAACCGGCCAGGACTCAACTAAAATTTTTATAAACCAAGAAACTCTGAGCCCTGGCCAGGTAGCTCAGTTGGTTAGAGCATGGTCCCGATGCACAAGGTTATAGGTCTGATCTCCAGTCAGGGCATATACAAGAATCAACTAATGAATACATCAATAAATGAAACAACAAATTGATGTTTCCTTTTTCTTTTTTTTTAAATCCTCACCGAGAATATTTTTCCACTGATTTTTTCAGAGTGGAAGAGGGGAAGAGAGAGACAGACAGACAGACAGACAGAGAGACACCAATATGAGAGCGACACATCAATTGATTGCCTCCCACATAACCCCTACCAGAGCCGGGGACCGAACCACAACTGAGGTTCATACCCTTGAACCCACGACTCTTTGGTCTGCAGGTCGATGCTTTAACCACAGAGCCAAACTGGTCAGGGCCAACAAATCGATGTTTCTCTCTCTCTCTGTCCCTTCTTCTCTCTCTAAAATCAATAAATAAAAATTTTTCAAAAAAAGAAACCTTGAGCCCTGGCCGGTTTGGCTCAGCGGTTAGAGCGTCGGCCTGCGGTCTAGAGAGACCCGGGTTCCGTTCCCGCTAAGGGCACGTACCTCAGTTGCAGTTTGGCCCTGGTTGGTCATGTGGATGGCAGCCACTCGATGTGTCTCTTTCACGTCGATGTTTCTCTCTCTCTCTCTCTTCCTCTTTCTCCCTCCCACTCTATCTGTACAAAAAAATGGAAAAATGTCCTCGGGTGAGGATAAAAAAAAAAAGAAACCTTGAAAAGTGTACATAATAAAAACATGATACATAGAAATGAAACATTTTGCCTAACACTAAAAAGAAAGTGCATAATTTGCAGTATTAATAACAATTTCACATGTAGGGAATACCTCCTACTTTTATACATAATGCCTCCCTGAAAGTGGTTTAAAGTTAGAAACTATGAAGTTGAACAAACACATAAAAGATTCCATTCCCGCCCTAGCAGAGCAGCACCTCTGGTTGGAGCGTTGTCCCAATATGCCACGGTTTCGGGTTCAATCTCTGGTAAGAGCACACACAAGAATCAACCAATGAACCCATAAAGAAGTGGAACAACAGCCCTGGCCGGTTTGGCTCAGCGGTTAGAGCGTCGGCCTGCGGTCCCGAGAAACCCGGGTTCGGTTCCCGCTAAGGGCATGTACCTCGGTTGCAGTTTGTCCCCGGCCCTGGTTGGTCGTGCGGGTGGCAGCCACTCGATGTGTCCCTTTCACATCGATGTTCCTCTCTCTCTTCCTCTCTCCCCCTCCCCTCTACCTGAACAAAAAATGGAAAAATGTCCTCAGGTGAGGATAAAAAAAAAAAAAAAGAAAGAAAAAAAAGAAGTGGAACAACAAATCAATGTTTCTCTTTCCCTCCCTCTCTCTAAAAAAAATCAGTAAACAAAAATTTTAAAAAAGATTCAGCATTAACCCATGCACCAAGAGGTCACTGGTTCAGTTCCCGGTCAGGACACATGCCCAGGATGTGGGCCCAATCCCCTGTGGGGGTCACGCAGGAGGCAGCCAGTTGATGTTTTCTCTCATCAATGTTTCTACCTCTCTCACTAAACTCAATAAAGAAAAAATATTAAAAAAAATAAAAAAGATTCCATTCCCAATCAAATAATATTCTAAATCCCTAAATAGGATTCTAACAACTGCTAGAGCCTAGGCACTTTTTGTGAGCTCAAGGTCAGACCCACCTCCCATGCCTTTCTTCCTAAGGACAACAACATCTAGCCAAGCCTCTCTCCTTCACATGGGTTTCCTACTCCTCTCCCTGATTTCTTTGCAGGGCAAGGTCAAAAGATCAGTAGCACCTATTCAAACCACTACCTAATGCCCTAGATACCTAAGAATCAGGAGAAGACTAAAGAATCCTTCATCCCTCATGAGCATGTAGCTGCCCTGTTACAGGGATTTCTATCACCTGGCTCTTGAAGGCTTGGGTTCTTCCAGGCATGGCAGTTACCTCTACAAGCATCAGGCTGCAAACAACCAGCCAACCACCTTTCCCAAACATCTGGTGAGGTACAAAGAAGCAACTACTATAACCATAGTACCTGCCCATAAAAATGTAACAACAATCTCTCAAAAGTACACACTGACTTTTCTGTATTTTCAAAGGTTTCTACATTGCACATAAATTACATTTTGGCAATCTGAATATAACACACCCTGATACATGTGCTCAGAGCATCATCCTTGTGTCTGACAACTGAACCAAAGTCTCCCACTGAATAAATTGTCATTGCCTCCAACCTGAAATAGGCATAAACCAGACTGTCTTTTTTCTTATTAGCAAAGCTAAAAATTCCAGCGGTCAGTTAATTTTTAAGCAACATTTATGTAAACACCTATATATAAATTCTAATGTTTGTAATTTATCAGAAAGAATGATAGCAACAACTACTACAAAGTAATGTCTAATTTTTTATTACAGCAATGTCTATTAATTAGTTATCAAATAACTAACATAGAATGCCAAAAAATAACACAAACCCCCCATCATTTTGTTAAAAATTAACTTTGAAAAAAGCATAAATGGTGATGGGACAAAGACCTGACTTGAGTAGTGAACACACAAGACAGTGTACTGTATTGTGAAATTGTGCACCTGAAACCTGTATAATTTTGTTAACCAGTGTCACCCCATAAATTCAATAGAAAAGAAAAAAAAATTACAGAAAAACATATTAAAGGATATTCTAACTCTGAAAATCTGTTTCCAGTTCTGCACTGAGTTACTACTGGTTCCTTTCCTGTTTAGTCCATATGAAAATTGAAGATAATATTCAGACCTCAACAGTCCTATGTAAATATCTGTAAACTGCTGTAAAGATAACTGGAGGTGCTAAGTAAAACAAATGTTATTAAAATGTTTTTAATCAGCCCTGGCCGGTTCGGCTCAGCAGTTAGAGCGTCGGTCTGCGGTCCGAGAGACCCGGGTTCGGTTCCCGCTAAGGGCATGTACCTCGGTTGCAGTTTGTCCCCGGCTCTGCTTGGGTCGTGCGGGTGGTGGCCACTCGATGTGTCCCTTTCACATCGATGTTTCTCTCTCTCTCCCTCCCTCCCACTCTATCTGAAAAAAGAATGGAAAAATGTCCTCGGATGAGGATTTAAAAAAAAAAATGTTTTTAATCAGTATTTTATAAAAGCAAAAGGGTACCATCAACAAAAAGTGTGCTCACCTTTTCAAAAAGTTTACAAAGTCTTACTAGCAAATGCAAAAATATGTTATTTGTGACCATAACTGTTGGAGTACCATTTAAAAAGGACTACCAAACAAAAATATTTCACAATGAATCTTTAATTCACTAACTTTGAATGGGAGAGAGGGAAAACCAGCTACAAACTAACTCGGACAGAGTTAAGGTAGAAATCAGTGTTTAGGATCATGCTATTTAATGTGATTCCTTTAAAATACACAACTGAAACAATAGTTTAATGTCACAATCTACCTGTGCAGACTATTACCAGTATAACTTAAATTCAAGCTACCTGTTAAAAAGTTAAACCTATGCCAACCAAAAGTGGACTCATCTATGACACTCCTACATATTTACCCATATTTGTAGTAGCCCCAAACTGGAAATAACCCAACTGTTCATAAAAAGGTAAATGCATAAACAAACTGTGGTGTAGCCATACAAGGAAATACTACCCAGCAGTAAAAAGGAAAGAACTACATAGTAACAGCAAGAAGGAATCCCAAAATATGGTGAAAGAATCCACACACAAAAAGTACATATTGTTTGATTCTATTTATAGAAAATTCTAGAAAATACAAAATAATAATAGTGACAAGAAAGATGAAGGACAGAAAGACTACCTAGAGGCACAAGAAACTTTTAGGGACGATGACTATGTTCATTACCATGATTGTGGTGATGAGCTTCATGGGTGATACTTATGTCAAAACTTATCAATTTTGCCCTAGCTGGTGCAGCTTGGTTGGTTGGGCGTTGTCCAGTGCACCGAGAGGCCACCTGTTTGATTCCTGGTCAGGGCACATACCCAGGGTTTCGGGTTCAATCCATGGGTTGGGGTGCGTGCAGGAGGCAATGTTTCTCTCTCACATCTATGTTTCTCTCTCTCTTGCTCTAAAAAAAAAAAAAATCAATACAAACTTTTTATTTTAAAAAACTTATCAATTTAAATATAAAGTTATTTTATATCAATTATACTTCAATAAACAATTGGGAAAAAATTCAAGATACCAAAACTAATTCTACAGCTCCTGCCAGTCATATCTATCTGCTCCTGAATGTTATATATGTAACCCACCAACTCACAGTATAGGTACTTTTAGAAGTACAAAAGTATCCCTAAT